TCCGTGCATGCAATTCCGCTGTGATCTGGCAAAGTTACTGATCTTATCTTATAATGAGGTTAGCCATTCCTTAACCAGTTTTGAACGCAGATTAATTAGCTGAAGTCTAGTACCGTCGCCCTGTTATCAGAGTGGATATCTGAAGGACGCTGCACTTCGGAGCAGTGAATCAACTGCTGGTGCAGGATATGAAACAGTTTATCTAAAAAACATATTAAGTATAATGGAAAGATTGTATTTGTCAAAAAATTTTGAAAGACGTTTGCATGTTTTCAAATTATCGACAAGGTATTTTTTTTTGGTGGTGTGCCTTAGATATGTTATACATTAACAGCCGTCAGTCTTCACATAAAATCTGTTCGGTTATTTATATAAAGTTTCTAGTTGGTTCTTTGCCTTTGATACTACAATTCAACATCTTATTTACTTGGTATCGTAGCCAAGGAAGTAGGTATCCCAAAGAGCAATAACTTTTTTTTGCCACGGGCAAGGTGTTAAGCCAAGATAGCCTAATTGATGGTAGCATCCCCTGCAAAAGCTTTAATTTAACCTTTATTTCAGACTTCAAAGGTATTGAAGGAATCTCTTTCAATACAAAATAAAGTAATAATACACTATTTACGGATTATCAATAATAGGTTTTCAGCTACTCTAATAGGAATGAGCTCATTGAGAGACGTTCTCTGGCGAAAATTTGACTTTGTGAGAGAAATCAGAGAAACGGTGATCAATGCGGTTTTATTATTCTGCTGGTGAATTTCGGGGTTTTATTTTAAAACAACTCGCCACTTGGTCGCCTGCTGTAAGAATCGATCTAAACAATAATAGAACTTTTTACAGAAGTAAATCTAAAAGCAACCTTTAAAAATTCAATTTTTGACATCGCGAAATACGCCTAAATATTGAATTCGATTTGGTAGAGGTCTTTTCTTTCGAACTTATTTATTTCACAATTATACCGTTATTTTGCATATTTCTGATTGCAATTTAAGTAAAAAAAATCTTAATAAAAACAAGAATAAGTGAAAATTAATACAACACAAGCATATGTTTATATAAATAGTAGCACATAACACATACACATCTTGACACATATCAACATATTAATGGGCATATTTTTTCACATGTCAATAGCGGTATTCATGTTATGTTTATTAATTAATATCAAATCGTAATTAAAATTTAAATGATGTGCTTCGTTAGCTATGCTTGCACACATATGTATGCTATTTGATATATACACACACTTAATTACATACGAGACATTGCAAGTCCACTGAAAATACTCACTTCAGCCATGTGTTGGGAAAAAATATTTCAATTTGTTATTTATGGTGATAAAATACAATTTAAGATAATGTGTTTCAATAATTTGCAAACCAAAGTAAATAAAATTGGTGAAAATGAGTTATACACCTACTATACACATATGAAATAAATGAAAAAACGAATAAAAGGAAAGCAGTTGCAGAAATTATATTGAAATGGCAGAAGTTAAATTAAATTTTTTAGGCGGCAAGCAAACGATGAAAATAAGCTATAAATAATGCAAAAATTATAATAATTGAGTAATTTTTATTTCATTTAAAGGTCAGGGTGGATATCCGCATAATTTTTTTTATGAGATAGGGTTCAAGGACAAAGCATTTTTTCTGTAACTTCATAGCAAATGAATTGGTTTAAAGAGATTTGAAAGAGATTGGAAAGAAGTTTACTTTAAAGTATTGAACCTCACACCTTCGGTTTCTTATGGATTCGATAGATTAATTAAATAATTACTAGTATGTGCTTTTATTAAATTTTGTTTTAATTGTTTTGTTTAACAGTTTATCGTTGAATTTTTTGCGAATTTTGTAATACCCAGAAAGTTATATAGAAATAATCTGCGTGACGAGTTCAGTCGATTTAGCCATGTCCGTTTGTCTGACAAGAGTATATACGCGAACCAATAACTCAGTTTTTGAGATATCAAGAAATTGACCGTTTTTGTCGGAATCGCCGTTATCGGATAATACTGCCAGGCAAACTGACCAATCAAAATCAAGTTCGTGTATGGAAAACTTTTTTTTTTTGACAAGAAGTCTTTCTTTTCGTCTTATCCGGGTCTTATTGCGATCGAAATTCAATTTTGCTGTTGGAAAAGTTTTTTTCTAAAATTTTATATTCAAACTCAGCAGGAATCTGAACTCACAAATCCTCGTAAGATAGTCGCAATTTTACTCCATTTGTCTAAAGTGTTCATTTGCAAACTTCAAAAAGTCATTCCTATCGTAAAATTCCAGAAATAGTGCGCAAATGCAAGTTTGCGCCTTACGATATGCTACAGAAAGTAGTACTGCACTTCAGGGACCCACAAAGAAGAGTTTATTTTTTAGTTTTCAAACAAATTATGCTCATAATTTGCAATTTTAATAATAAAACTAATTTGCATATTTGCAGAATTCATGCAGCTAAGCGCTAGCCAGCGGGTCGTCATGTCGTATGGGTAACCCCCATTTAATTACTGCATTGTTATTCCTTCACACATTTCGCAGCTAATTAATTTCAATTTTAATTTTTGCAAAACACACTCGACGCTCATTTGCAAGTGCCGGAGCGTAGCATAGCGTATTAAACATAATTAATATGCAAAGCAGGTGTGCAGCTAACGCACTAACACAAACACAAGAGTATAAAATATGATATCGCTATATATGGGTGTGGTGTGTGTTTGTGCGTGAGTGGGTGTCGTTGAGGCGTTTAAGCATTTCTCATATTTATGCGCATACGCACTTCAATCAATCAACAGCTAAATTAAGGCCAAAGCTAATGTGCATGCCTTAATTAAATTATGCTGAATGTATAACAACAACAACAACAACGAAAACGTAAATATAATAAAAATAGCAATTGCGAATCTGTACCAAACAACAAGAAATCAATTGGCGGACGAGTGCCGATGTGCGTGTGTGCGTATGTAATTAATTTCAATTACACAGCTTATAACAGTTATTGGTATTGCGCATAATTTTTTATGCCCCATACACACATATATATCCGCGCGCATAAGGTGTTTACGTGTGCGCTGACAACTTGTGGTTTTACATTTAATTCAATTTATTTTTGTTTTGCCAGTCAATTGCGTCACACAATAATTAACACATATTTCTATATGTATAATTTAGTTGCATTGCAAGGCTTTAAGTGTGTGAGTGTATGGTTGCTTTTGATGTAGTTTTTGTGCGCTTAAAATTTTCGCGAAACTAATTCAGGCGCGTTGACATTTGTGGTGCATTTGACAATTAGCCGCCGCGTGACCAGCTGGCCCTTCACACATACACAAACACCTATGCACTCTCACACAGCCATACACCTGCATACGCAATTGCTCCCTTTGTTGACACACTAACGGTTAAGCGATTTACAAATATTAGCATTGCTGATTGCTGCCGCCTGAATTGGTAAAGCCGCCAGCGGGCTCATTGCGGCCGAACAATATAAATGTCAATAAATTAAGCAAATTTGTCAAAGAATTTGTAAAAATTAATAATCATCAGAAATTAGGCGCTTTGTACTAATTAGCTGTTAAAATATATATTTTATTGCATTCAATTATGCAATATGTTGGTGTTTTCATTGTTGTACCTTTTTTGCATATTTCACTCGGAATTGCAGCGCGATTAATTTTTCGCACTCAATATTAGACATATTTATTGTAGTTTTCATACAAATTTATTGCTAAGTTAACATTCGACATGACTAATTATGAGAAAATGCAAAGCGGTAAAAGTAATTACAAACTTTGTTTTTAATAAATGTTAGGATGTGTAGTATGGATTGACAATTTGCTTTAAAAGTAAAATAATTACGTGTAATTAATTGTAAATGCCGATCAATAATAAATAATATATCGAGTTTTCTAGTTAAAATATTATTACAATAATTATATGAAATAATTAATGAACGGTTATAAATTTAATAAAATAATTGATTAAGAAAATTGTTTTAGTTTAAATAATTAGTAACAAATAATTAAATTAAATTTATATAGGAAACTAAAAACCAGTAATTAATTAATTTATGAAACATAATTGATTTAACTATGATATAAATGAGTATGTTACTACATTTCTTAAAAGCTTGATCAATTAATTAAATTAATTATTGAAAAAATAAATTTAATCAAGTAATCAATATGTAATAATTTCTTTATTTGAAGTAATTAATAAAAAATTAATTTAAGTAAACCATAAATTAATTTAAAGAATTAGTGATACAGGAATTAGTTTGATAGCTATAAAATAATTGAATAATTAAAAAAACAATAAAAATTTAATTCGATACTTTAATGTAATTGATTAAGCGAAATAATAATAAAAAAATTAATTATTTTATTAAAATATTTATAAGGAAATAATTAACGTAAATAATTGTTAAAAAATTATTTATTTAATTTAATCAATAAATAATATTTAATTAACTATTATTGGTATAAAGTAATTAATTAAATCAAATTACTTAAACAATTAATTAAAGTGGATAAATAATAAATTATTTAATTAAAGTATATGTGAATAATTAACTTAAATAGTTTACAATAATAATTAATATAAAAGTTATTGACTAAATGTATAAATAATAACTAATTAATTTAAATAATTACTTTAAAGAAATTTATTAAATCAAATTAATAATTAAAAAATAATGTAATTGGATAATAAATTAATAATAAAAATTAGATAATAATAAAAACTGATTCAATTAAAATTATTAATCTGGATAGGTACAAATTAAAAAAATACTTAATTCAATTAAGTTACTAACAAAAAAGTTTATAAAATTAGTTTAAGCAAATTAAAAATAATTTCATTAAAGCTATTTTTTTAATATTTATTTATTTTAAACACCACTTCCACGCATTTAAAAAAATACTCCATTTTCTTCTTTTATTTTTAATTACATTCTCCTTCATCTTTCACCTTAAAAAATTACATAAATAGTTGTATTTTTTTTACACTCACCTTTGGTGATGGCACCACCGAAAATGTATTCATTATCCTGTCGGGGTACTCTTCACGTATTTTGGAAATAAGCAGAGTACCCAAACCGGAGCCGGTACCGCCACCGAGAGAGTGTGCCAATTGGAAGCCTTGTAGGCAATCGCAACCCTCGGACTCTTTACGCAGCACATCCAACACAGAGTCAATTAGCTCGGCGCCCTCTGTGTAATGACCTTTGGCCCAGTTATTGCCTGGAATTAAAAAAATCCACGTATATAAAAAATATTCTTGAACTGATTGCTCTGTATTGAATTCAAATAAATTGAAATTATTAGATATTTTATTTTTTAAAGCGGTGCTTAGCACAAAAATCATTTGGACCAAATTTACTTTCAGTTCAAGTATATTATATTATATAATTACACTTAGCTTGGTAATTACTCACCCGCTCCGGATTGGCCGAACACGAAGTTATCTGGCCTGAATAGCATACCCATTGGCGATTGGCGAACAGCATCCATTGTGCCTGGCTCCAAATCGATGAGTACAGCGCGTGGCACATATTTACCACTGCTGGCCTCATTGTAGTACACATCGATGCGTTCCAATTGCAAATCATTCTCACCAACGTACATGCCATTCGGGTCGATGCCATGCTCATCGGAGATGATTTCCCAAAACTAAAAAGAAAAAAAAATATTAAATTAATTTTAGAAATTTAAGTAAGTATAATTTTTTAAAAATTATGTTTGAATAAAATACATAATAATTAGTATGAAAAATATTTGTACAGGGGAAAAGGATAGAAACTGAAATTCAACAATATATACACAAATAAGTGGTCAGAGTGACATTTGGACATGTCTCTCTGTTCGTCCGTCCGTCCGTCTGTCTGTATGACTGTATATACGCGATCTGAAATATACACGTATTACACACGTCCTTTTAATCCCTGCTAATTTATAGCATATATGTAGCTGCCATAAAAGCTAAGCGATCAAAAACGAGTCCTTGTGACGAGAACCTTTTCATTTGACAAGATATCTTAACGAACTTTGGCATGAATTATTGCCGAAAGCAGTGGTAAAATCGTCGAACAAATTTCCACTCTAGCATGAAGCTGCCATACAAACTGAATAACCAAGATCAAATTATGGATAGAAACTTTTTTATTTGTAAAGGGTATTCTAGATTCTGTACAATCGAAGTTAACGTTTTTATTTTTAGTAGCTTAATAATTTTTCATACATTTTTTTATAATATTTACTAAATTATTCGTTATTTTTTTTTGTTGTTCGTGAGTTTACAATCCGTTTAACAGCATTGTTGCATATTTCGTGGCGCAAAATAATCATTTCACCTTTTTACAAATAAATAAAAATCTGCTTGGCTACAAAAACATACACAATGTAAATTATTGTATATATGTATATACTCTAGAAGCGAAGAAAAAAGTCACCTTACTCTGTATTCAATTCATGAAAATGCAAATATTTTTGATGGCGCGTGAAAATCATTGAAATAATACATGCAAAAATCAATATATGTGTACAGTGATGGCCAGTTAGTGCAATTTAGCGCAGCCCATAATTGGACGTTCCTACATTTTTGAAAAGGTTTAATTTGGATATCTATATCTTATAATCTGCTAAATCTATGCACACCTCTCTCAACTCTCCTTAATTGTAAGAATACAGTATAAAATATCTATAACTGCCAGAAGAATAATATTCGAATATGCAATTAAAAGTATGAAAATCGTTCAGTTAATTATATGATAATATATATGATATATGGCAACGCCCACTTTTAAGAAAAAATGCATACCTCACAAATTAACTAAACGACGTTAATAATATTTGTTTCAAAATATTCATATAATGTCCTCTTAAAACTGCTAAAAGATGACAAAATCGGAGTAAAACCACGCCCACATCCATTATAACACCGTTGCGAATCCCACCAGCTTCTTTAATAGATAATTTCAAAATTAAAAAAAATTAGAAATCTGTCCTTACTTTCTCTACCCCATACATCGATATCGGTGAATTTTTAAGGTACATTAACGAAACAAAAGAGGCCTCGTTTTTTTAATAATATGAGTTTCTTTAGTTTGTGATAATTTTCACATTTCACATTTCCTCTTTCATAATAATCACAAGATACAATATTTATATTAAAAAAATCTGTCGTAACAATCAGCGCCGTCAGTGTACATATTATATTACATATACTTATATGCACATAAATACAAGCATACGTGCTCATATAACTGTATAAGCGCATAATTCGATCGGTAGCAAAATCGGTAGCGCAAAAATAAAGAAACGTAAAACGAGTGGAATAATTATTTCACGCTGCAGAAATTCATATCCTTGTAAAGTGAAAAAAAGCTTGGAAAAATTGTACACCGCGGGCATTCATTACAAATTCCAAGTAACAAACGTTGTAACACAATGAAAATGTTGGTGGAAAAAATATCATTGCAAAAAATTACGTACACATATAGAGCAAAGAAAAACAGCGCATAGATCAATGAATTTTAACAAAAATTTCCATTTTGCTCCGCTAAAAACACAGGCAAGTGCCAGTGAATTGTGCGGGGCGCGGATTCTCAAGCAATTTTGCCGCCGGCATTTATAGTTCAAACGGTGCTTGCAAATACCCGCACATATGTTTATCCGCTTGCAACACACACACATACCTATAAATCTAGCTAGCCCACATACCTCTATTTGATGCTTTGTCGCCAGTTGAAATCGCACGAATTCGCGCCCACAACTATTTTGCCACCATTTCCATGCGGTGTTTCGTTTGGATGCAAGCAATTTATGCAGCTTCGTTATTGGAAATTGATATTCATTTTGTTATTCTATTCTTTGGAATTTTTTTAAATTTTTTTATATTTTTCACTCTCTTTTGCGATAGAAACCAACTTTACGTATTTATGAAAATAGAAATTCCTATTTTGCTATTTGTCCGAGGGTATTGTTGCATAGCTTGAGGAGTGAGGCGAAAGTGTCCTCCGTTGTTGGAATGAGTTCAATTTTATGAACTCAGAGCTGCAAGTGTGCTTTTAAAGCAAAAACAATACCTACAAATATACCTATACTTTTTTTTTTTTTGTATTTGTTCACCCCTAAGTAATCTATGTACAAAACTATAGCTGGTGTATCAGAATTTTGGTTGGCTAAGTGCCTGCTTAACGGGAAACGATACAAATGTATAGGGAGCCAATCTTAGATATTTTACTTTAAATTCTCTGATTTGAGTGTAAACAATCTTAATTATGTGAAATTATTTGGGAAAATCGTTTCTGATATACTTTGCTTGAGACAAAGTCTAAGGCTCTAAATTTATATAAGTGTTTAGAAACTCAATTTGGAGTTTTAGTATGTGAGTTTTAGAAATGTCTGTGTGCGTTTCAGGTTGTTTTCTTTCCGAAACTGTCTATATCAAACTGATTGCAGATGTGTCGTTGTTTGTATTAAAGTGACAAGGGCATTGGTAAACGTGTGATAGCTTCTGATGTGCATTACATTCCGAATAGATTAAAGAGTGTGACTATAAAATAGGCATCAATATCATAAAGTCCTATTTTTGCATGAGCTCTTGCAGATTCGTGAGATTGAATACCTCTTAAAAAATTGCTAGCTATTCTTATGTGATTTGAAACTAGTAGCACTCTCGACTTTGTCGTAATGTTACAGTTTAAGTGTTAGTAAGAGAACCTTCTTATAATTGTTATTAGTTAACTACGGAGGGACCCTATAAAGTATATACAAGTACATAAATGATCAACGTGACGAGCTGAGTCGATTTAGCCCTGTTTGTCTGTCTGTTTATACGCGACTAGACCCTTAGTTTTGGAGATGTCGATCTAACATTTGTCGGAACCGCCGATATCGGAGTACTATAGAATATATCTGCCATATAAACTAAATGATCGAAATCAAATTCTTGAATGAAAAACTTTTTTATTTGACAAGGCATGTTCACGAAATTTGGCATGAATTATTCTCTAAGGCAACAGTACAATCTCCGAAGAAATTGTTCAGATCGGATCAGTATAGCATATAACTGCCATACAAGTTGAAGATAGTTTCACAAAATTTGGCATGGATTACGGTGCAATGTAACAATACAAACTGTCCGATCAAAATAAAGTTTTTGAAAACTTGAACCTGTGAATTTTTGTTAGAACCCAGTATCTATATAACCAGTTCTGCGGAATATTTTGAGAATTGTCAGAAACTCTTAGATCGTAACATATTTGTAAATCACCTAATATTTTGTTCACGATCGTTATATTCGGCTTTTTTTTATCATAGAAACAGGTTAGGCGACTAGTCAGAGGCAATGTATAGCGTTGTCATATCTAACGTACTTTTTTATATAAATAAGTAGACTAATTATATTAATTCTTAGCCTTTAGAAAATTTGGTTGTTTTGGAGTCTACTTAAGAAGCATATGAATGCAAAAGGGAGTTAATGGTAATTGTGGTCGTTGTTATAGCGAAAGCCAACAATCTCCTAAGCATTTTGAGGAATACTATCGATCTGACAGTTCTTACCCAGATAGAAGTCGGTATTTTAGGTTTAATAGATCCTATTGTACTGTAGGGTGTCCGTTATTTCCCATGTTGGTTTGTGTTTGGCCTATTAAGGTTTCAGTTTAGCAATATCCAAACATTCCATGTTACATAGGAAAAGAAATTCGACTTGAGAACGGTTTGAATTGAATATAAAGAGCTTGTTTACGTTGGATCCCTATTTTTTAGGTAAAAACTGAATTTTCAGGTCTGTTTACAAAAATCAATCAACTCGCGAAATAAAGGACGCCCTACTGTACAGTCAATTGCAAATAAATGTTCTCAGGCGCTCCGTATATATACCTAAATATAATATTATATTATATGTGATATATAAAACTTATATCGATGCTTAAATTTTTTGGTTTCCGGAGCCAAAAAATTCGAGTTATTCTTGATTCTTTAAGTACCAGATAAAGTTTAAAGTGACTAAGGGTTTTTCATTTTTCATTGATCTGGGTAATATGTAAGCTATAAAGGTTTTTGAAATCTCTCCATTGTGAATCAATTAAATACAAAACATTATGCTTTAGGTCACACACTCCACCACAAGATACCACCCTCTTGAATCTGCTGATCCCACTCCACATACATTTATTATTATTTTTTCACAAATTCCATTGTTTTGCTTTTATTTCGGCGACGTATGATTTTCTTGCGCATGAATATGAATGCCGCGCATATATAAATTCGTAAATATTTCGTGAAGCAGCAACAAGTACAACATGTGCGCCACAATTTATACGCGCTTATGTTTTTAACCAATTTTTGCGTTGTTTGTCTTCGTTGCAATGTTATTTTTGTTGATTGTAAGGTTGTATTGTTATGGTTTTCAGCATAACCTTGCTGGCTCTTACATTGTTTTTTGTTGTTTTCATTACTAGAAGTAAAAATGTTAATTGTGAGAAAATCGCAAGCTGCTGTGACACGCTTGATTCACTCCATTTTAAACTGTCTTCTTTAGGTTTTTGTTTTTTTTTAGATTACCGTTACCTCTGCACTGAAGTGGAACGATATGGTCGAAAGGATGCGCCTATCCTTTTGCTAATTTGCTTTTAACTTAAGAATTGCAAAAAGGTGCGCTGAAA